GTTAATCTAATGATGATAAAATTATCTAAAAATTTTGGAAAGATAAAAGATCATTCTAAGGCGTAGATCTAGGCATTTCACAAAAATGGACGATCTATGTTAATTGAGCTAAAAAATTACTTTATAAATTGTGTTTTCAAGTTTTTTTGTTTTGTAATTATTCATTAGAATGAAAGATTATATCTTTTAAAATTTGGATCAAACAAATGGCCTTAACATAGTTTTTGAAAGTTGTTGCATCATATTACGATACAACCGTTACATGAAATCAATGCCTTTTAAGATCGTTAGTCCAAATAATATATTAAATAAAGCATTCCTTTTAGACTTGAAATCTATTTATTTATTTATTGTTAGTCATATGTTTTGAGGAGGAGATGATAGGAGGGTTTTTTTGCATCAAAACAACATTTTTTTTAGGTGTTTTAAGTGCACTTTGCTTTTGTAGTATAAAGCTGATATATTGTAGGAAGCTCTAACTTTTAGGTATATTTTGGTAAATTTATTCTATAAATTTCTTTTTGGTACTCTAGGACCCATAATTTTATTTAGTTCGAAATAAATGAGTTCTTATCTCAAGAGAGCGCAACAACCCGAGTGGAAAAATTTGAGTGGTGACAGGGGTCCAAATCCGAATGCGTGCAATGTTAGATAGGTCAATGTCGGCCAGGATCGCATCTCTTAGAAGATGGTGAATATAGCCTGTTTAGGTGGTCCAAAGTGTGGGTAGAAGATGAAAAGTGGTTTTCTTGACATTGGTTGGTGTCTTCATTGCAAGCCGCATCTTAAACCCTTTTAAGCACTATCTTTAAACTCCATAATTTTCAATCTAAATCGTCGATCTGGATAGGAATTTAGTTGAGACCAAACCACTTATGCGATGGCGTCGTTCACGCCCTGCTTCCTCCAAGCCCCACCTTTTCTTTTTTTTTCTTAAAAGATCATCTAATGTTTTACTCTAAATCCCCACCCACAAATCTTTATTTTAACTTTATTTATCTTATTTATTTTTCATATTTTTTGGATCATTGATTTAGATCGATCGAGATCACCGATATAGTGTTCTGACATGGATTTACGAGGTGAACGACTGACCCTATCGATTTGGGTTTTGAAACATTGCTTTTATGTAGTGTTTTAAAACCCAAAAATTATTAATATGGATCATCAATGTGAATGGGAATCGACTTGGACCAAACAAGTTATGAGATGTATGTTTTCTTTTTTTAAAGGTTATATGATTTTTTTTTAAATCCCCTCTAAATTTTTATCTCGTATTTTAATTATTTTATTTATTTATTTATTTTTCGACTCAAACCAATTCAAACTCAGTCAGAATCATCAGTCCAACAATCCAACATAGATTTATGGTTGAACAATCCATTCCACCGATCCTAGGTTACACTTTCAAACACTTATCTATATATCTAAATATCAAGAGTTCATTTTGTGAAAATTTCAGCACCAAAACATATTTTCCAGTATATTTTTGAGGGATGCCTTGCTTAACGAGCAAATAGTTGACACCCTATATAAATTATTTCTACACAGTCAAATTAAGGAGCACCTAAAAAATTAATTGAAAGAAGTTGTTTCGATGCTAAAAATTTATCAAATTTAACATCTCGACCTTAAGATATATGGACATGAGAAAAAATAAATTTCAAGTATTGAAAATAGTGCATCTTATTTGTAATGCATTTGACCGTTAATTTTCAAAAATTTAAGTACTCATAGATTTACTAGATATACACTATTATTAAAATTTTAAATTTCATAATTAGATATAAAAATAAAATTTTAAGCCATCACAAGGATTTTTTCAGTATTGAAACATCTTGCTACATTATTTGAAAGTGCGCCTAGTCTTATTGTTTAGGGTCTCGGCCTTATACATTAGTAGTGACTCAGCCATTATAAGTAAGCCGCACGCGGGCTCTTAACAATGGGTTTCCTTTTTTAAAGCTATATTATAAGGATTTTTACAAAATTGAAATATCTTTTCAAGGTGCGCCTTTTAGGGTCTCGGCCTTATACATTAGCAGTCAGGTGCTTCACACTCGGCCATTATAAGTAAGCCGCGCGCGGGCTCTTAAGAGTGGGTTTCCTTTCATTTGCCATCTAAGCTTTCGAAACCCGGAGACCCTCCCCTAAAACCCTAAAACCCTTACAGAGCCCCTAGAAATCAATGCCTTTTTCCAAATTTTCGAGATCCATGGCAATTGCCATGAAACGTTAGCCCCTGCATCTCCCTAGCTACAAGCCCGTTCCCTTCTTTAATCCTGAAAACCCTAGAAACTCGCTGTAAATCTCGTTAATTCATATCTATCCCTGCAACCTCCCAAAACCCTAGAAGTTTCATCCAAATCCCCGTAAAACTCTGAAACCCTAGCTGATCTCACTCTGCAACCATGTCGATGTCAAAGAGCTCCAAAATGTTACAGTATATCAACTATAGAATGAGGGTGACCATCCAAGATGGTCGCCAACTCGTGGGCAAATTCATGGCCTTTGATCGCCACATGAACCTGGTCTTGGGAGATTGCGAAGAGTTCAGGCGCTTGCCCCCTTCCAAATCTCAGAAGAAGGAGGAGAGAGAGGACCGTCGGACCCTTGGTTTGGTGCTCCTTCGAGGCGAAGAGGTGGTCTCCATGACAGTTGAGGGACCTCCACCACCAGATGAGAACCGCGCTAAGGCCGCGGGTGTGGCTCAGTCTGGGCCAGGCATCGCTAGGCCAGCAGGCCGAGGCCTCCCCACTGCTCCCATGGCCCACGTCCAGCAACCAGGCCTTGCTGGCCCGCCTCGCGGGCTTGGTGGTCCGACACCAGCTATGATGCAGCCTCAGTTAACCAGGCCTCAGTTATCAGCTCCTCCTATTACCTACCCAGCAGGCCAACAACCTCCAGTTATGAGGCCACCTCCTGCTCCCATGCCTGGATTTGCACCTGGCCAGCCCATGCCCATGGCCCGGGGGCCTCCGCCTCAGTTTGGTGGAATGAGGCCCATGGGGCCTCCTGGGCCTGGTGGGCCTGGATTTGCTCCACCGGGGGCTCAGTTTGGGCAGAGGCCAATGGGCCCACCTCCACCACCTCAGATGATGCGAGGCCCTCCTCCACCAGGTAGGCCTGGAATGCCAGGTCCGCCCCCAAGGCCAGGGATGCCGCCGCCCCCACCAGGTGGTGGGGTGCCGGTGTTTGGGCCTCCAAGGCCCGGGATGCCCGGTCAGCCCCCCAATCAGCAGCAGCAGTGATAGGTATGTTGTTTCGGTTTAACTTGGATTTATTATGCTTTTGTTTGAAATCTATTTTTTTGTACTGAATATAGGTAAATTTTGTGTTGGTTGTTATGAACTGGCTTTTGTGGTGATTTTGTTGTTTAATTTTATTTATTTGGTGAAAAATAGGGACTTTCAATGTTGTTTTTACTCTCAAATTCTGGTACTGGGTTTGGTTATGGTTTTGCTGGAATTATAGTTGTTCTTGGCTAGTGTATTGAAAACAGGTGAATTATTTTGTTTTAAAAAATATTAATCTCATGATGATAAGAACATCTACTACATGTAGAGTAACAAAAACCCCTAATGCCTAGATCTAACCGTTTATCCAATGGAGGACCTAGGTTCACTATGTTGGGAAGACTGCTTTTTAGGGTGTATTTTCCTTCTTTTTTTTTTGAGATTGTTCATCAGGATGAAAGGAGTATATGTTTTAAAAAATTTGGCTCAGGCTATTGCATCGGTGTATTTAGAGACAATGGGAGATGACTGAAAAATTGCAGGTACACAGGGCAACACTTAATTAATTATCCAATTTTTTTGGAAATAAATGTGACAATATATTAAATATAAGATAGTTGTTACAAAAGACTCACGAGGAGTGAGTAGAGGTGCTCACAAAAGGAACAATAAACATGTAGAGTAACAAAAACCCCTAATGCCTAGATCTAACCGTTTATCCAATGGAGGACCTAGGTTCACTATGTTGTGAAGACTGCTTTTTAGGGTGTATTTTCCTTCTTTTTTTTTTGAGATTGTTCATCAGGATGAAAGGAGTATATGTTTTAAAAAATTTGGCTCAGGCTATTGCATCGGTGTATTTAGAGACAATGGGAGATGACTGAAAAATGCAGGTACACAGGGCAACACTTAATTAATTATCCAATTTTTTTGGAAATAAATGTGACAATATATTAAATATAAGATAGTTGTTACAAAAGACTCACGAGGAGTGCGTAGAGGTGCTCACAAAAGGAACAATAACAAAAAATAAAAGGTAAAGAAATAGAGTAGAAAAGAAAAGGAGAAAATTTTTAAAAGAAAAATAACAGGCAAAGAAGGGGGGACGGGTTAGAAGAAGTCATGCAATAGAGAGCAGTGTGAAGGACAGAGAAAAAAGTAGCAGGAGGGGAGAAGAACGTATGTGAGAAAGAATCTTGGAGGAGAGAGATATAGAAAAAGAGATGAGGGAGCGAGCGGGGGGAGGGGTGAGAAGAGATACGAGAGACAGCAGGAGGAGCGACGAGACGAGTTATGAAAGAAAGAAGACGGGAAGATCAAAATGGGGGGAGTTGAGTGCTCCATATTTGGCATGCTGGTTAGCTTCTCTATTACTTGCTCCACGAATACAGTGTGACTTGTAGCAGCATGCTAAGCTAGTGAACGTGGTAAAATATGTGAAGATAATGCCAAGGGTTTTGCAGAATTCGAAGCCCAGGCAATTACGTTATGAGAGTCGGCTTCTACGATGAGGTTATTGTCCTAGTTGAGATAAATATTTTCAGGGCTTTAAGTAAAACTGTGGCTTCTGCCCAATTTGAGTCATCGTAGGCAATTTGAGAGGAGAAATAAAGCAATGTGGCTAGTTTGCATCCATAAAAATGCCACCCACATCGCAGGGTCTTGGATTGCCTGAGCAACCGTTAATGTTCACTTTGATAATTCCATGGGTGGATGGTTTCCAGATGCCTGAATGTGTCAACCTTGGTCTCTTAGAGTTGGCAATATTGTGTCAGTTGTAATCGAAGTCCACAATTGAGATACCTCTGAGGATTTTCCAGTTGGAAGCCCATAGGATGGCAAGTGCTTTAGCCTTATTAGCAGTGGTAACGACAAAGTTCTTGTTGTCTCTAAAAATTTGAGAGTTTCGTTCTTTCCAAATGGATCAGAGGGTGGCTTGTGTTGATGAGTGCCACATGAAAATCCCAATTGAGGATAAGGGCATTGAAAAGTGGGCAGAAAAGAGGTTGAGGATATCAGGTGGGGTCACCCATGTGTAATTGAAGTCGCCTAGATGTTTTTTCCACGCTCTTTGAGCGTAGGGGCAATGGATAAAAAGGTGTGGATGAGTTTCCTCCCCCTTTTCACATAAGACACGGTTGGCAAGAATGAAGCACCTTCTTTGAAGTTCATCAAGGGTGAGGTTTCTCTGTGAAATGGAGAGCCAAGAGAAGGCTTGAACTCTAGGTGGGCTATCAATTGTCAAAGCTTTGTGCTGTTTGGAGGGGTTGGGTGACATTCGGGAGATATTGGCTAGGTAGAAGGATGCTACTGAGAAGTTGCCAGATGGATGTTTGGACCTAATGGGTCTATCAGGCCCTGTACCATTGACAAAAAAGTTTGGTGGGTAGTTGAGCAAGTTGAACAAGAGTTGGAAGTTGGAACTCATTCTTGGTAAGGGCTCTTTTGAATAAAGGTGTCAAGATTTGTTGGTTTTGGAAAGGCTAAAAGTAGGAGGCCATGACAACATTAGGGTCAAAAGCAAGGGAAAAGATGTCTGGCCAAAGGTCCTTGAGTGTGGTCCTTGAGTGTGGTATTCCTAATCCAGAAATGCTTCCAGAAAAAACATTAGATCCTGAGGCTACTTGAAAGTGAGTAAGCGGATATTCAGTGTGTTGGCTTGCGGTTGAAACAAGAAAGATAACTTGGGTTCACAATTGTTTGGTGAGGCGGTGGTGGGTGGGTTGTGAGCTTTTTGTAGGGCTTCAAAATAGGAGATTTAGAAGGATGCAATGGATTGGATGTTGGGTTGGAGGTGAAGGTTTCAAGAGGGTAGGGGTGGGTTTGGGTTTTCCTGCGAGCCTGAACGTAAGTAAATGCTTGGGCTTAGGTGGGTAAATCTGGTTGTGGTAGAACCGATGTAAAGGCGGTAGTTGAGGAGTAAAACCGGACTTAGCAAAGCTAGCGGAGGTTAAAGAGGGAGGGATGGCAGTAGAGCACATCGAGAGGTAAGGGCTAGATGGCAGTAGAGCACATCGAGAGGTAAAGGGATAGATGGCAGTAGAGCACATCGAGAGGTAAAGGGATAAATTGCTAGGGAGGGAGAGTGTGTGTGTGTGTGTGTTTGGTTAAAGGCAGTCACCATGATTGCTGGTCCTGCTGGTTCATTTCTCGAATATCCTCCCTTTACTTAACTTTCTTCTCCCCACTTCTTTCCCAGTCATTCATTAATATCTCACAAATAATAAATTCTTTTGAGCTGAAATTTTGTGTGCATAAACTAGACTCAAAAGTACTTTCCGTGTTAAAAATTTCATTGAAATCTGATGTAATATTGTCAAGAACCAGATATTCCGAATTCTTAGATACAGTTTCCTTTATTTTTTGTTTGAGATTGCTCTTAGGGATGAAAGGAGTATATAATTAAAATTTTGGGTCAGACAATTTGTCAGTGGATTTAGAGATAACGGGGAGATGTGTGAAAATTGCAGCTATGGAAGCACTCAATTATTCATGAATATCTCACAAAATACAAATTGTTTCGAGCTGGAATTTTGTGTAAATAAATTGGATTCATAGTAGTTTCAGTATTAAAATTTTCCTTGAAATCCGATGCACTATGGTCAAGAACCAGCTCTCCAAAGTTGTGTTTTCTTCTGATTGGTAGCACAGATAGTTGCTCCCAATTTTAGAGTGAGAAATTAACACTGTGTTGTTGGACAGTTGGAATTCTTCTAGGGTCTCAAACTCACACAAGGGGAGATTCAAGGCAAAGCCTATCGAGGTTGAGGTCAATGCTCTCTCTATCAGGTGGTTAACTGGGTATGGTGATTGAGAGCTTCTGGTGTAGACCCCAAGTCCCCTAGATGATACCCTCCTTGGGCTCCTTAAGCTCATAAAGTGGGTTCATTAGACCACTATATAACTGCTAGAAGGTCCCATGTCCGTCCTTCTTAGTCATGAATGCAAGAGATGTTTGGTTCTTCTCTCCTCCTCCTAGGACACATCCCATGTCCGTCCTTCTTAGTCATAATGCAAGAGACGCATGGTTCTTCTCTCCTCCTCCTAAGACACATGTGGGCCTCACCTTGTTTCATGCAAGTGAAACGTGCCCAACATAAACCTCCACTTGTTATTCTAGCAATCATTGAGTCTATTTCTCAATAGTATAACGAGTTCTAGGCCAGCCACTTTGATAGGGATCTTTTCTTCTCTTGAGGACCAAAAGGTGAATCAACTCAAGTACTTGTATGTTGGGAGTTGAAACTGCCTTTAGGATTCTTTAGAGGCTGGAGTAGAAATATGTGCAAAACTGCACTTATCTGTGCATCAAAACAGTAGGTTATATTCTTTCTTAGAGGTGGAAGGTGGGAGTCTTGACCGGACACGATAGCATTGGTGGGGACCGAAATTCCTAAGAAAAATACCTTAAAAGGCTTTCAATCTAGTGAAGTAGCATCATATGCATTAATGCAAGTCATGCAAACAAACAGCCCCTTAGGTCTCACCCTCCGATGAGAAGCTTCCACGGTGTTGAAACCCTCCTATTTAAGAAACGACGCTTATCTGTGCTTTCAAGTAGCCCGATTGCTCTGATGGGAAGCTTCCATCATGGTAAAATCCTAACCTATTTAAGAATCAATGCTTATCTGTGCTTCCAAACAGGTATAGTGCTCTTGTGAGGGCAGATATATCTTCGATTGTGCGCAACCAAAAAGGGCTACACCGAACACTCCTCTTCTCTAGGCTATAAATTTGGGCATATGATAACGCATTGGAAAGCTGTCGTCGAGCTCTATAACTTCGAAACTACCCAAGATGGTCGATCAAAAAAGTAGAGGAATCCCTCTAAAGTTCATTCAAGGTTCTGAGTAAAGCAAAAACCTAAATCAAACAGAAAATCCGACATATCTAAGGTGGCTGCCGGCCCAAGCTTCGTTATGGTTACTTGTGAACCATGTCAAATGAAAGCTTCATCACAAGGAAAAGGTATGCTTCTTATGGATTTCAAGTCTTGGTTGCCCAGACTTCCACCAAGGGCTTGCACGTATCTTGTTTCGGCCAAGGTATCTTGAGTGCTTATCTAAGGCTTCTTCCAGGCTGCATCTTATATTTAAGCTGATAAGACCATCCTCCCTTCAGCTATAGGTGACTGCCTCTCCCTGTTCAAAGACATGATGATCATTGGTGTTTAACCCAACCTAGGCAATTCATCAAGGAGATAGTGCCCATCCTGTTTGTATTGATCGGAAATTCACTTTTACGGAGCCACTGCTAAATATTTAAGCTCATAAGCATATAGGACCATCCTCCCTTCGGCTATAGGGGACTGCCTTTCTATGTTCAAAGACATGATGACCATTGGTGTTTATCCCAACCTAGGCAAGTCATTAAGGAGATAGTGCCCACCCTCTTTGCATTGACCGGAAATTCAGGTTTACAGAGCCACTGCACAAGTCCTAATCTTGGTTATGCCCATTCATGCAGGGCCATGGATGGCTATTCTTTGGAATATACCAACACAGAGTCGAAAGGCAACTTCCCCTAACATGGTGTTTGCAGGAGTGACATCATTTTATTACCACAAAATTGTTGCATGGAATCACTCCCCTCGTGCATACCTGCAGGCGGGAATGGGTGGGGAGGGGGAAAGTCTATGTTGGGGTTTCTGGTGATATGTTCTGACATAACTTGGTTTTTTTATGCTTTTCCTTCTTTGGGTTCTTAGTGAGATAGGTAAAAGTTCTATGTTGGTTTGTCCATGGCAGAGGTAAACTTTGATGTTGATGCTGTGCATGAAAGAAATTAATTTTTGCTGTATTGTGAGGTGTCAAAGTGATTGTTGTATCAATTTTTGATGTAATATTTTCTTTTAACTCACTCAAAAAAAATATTTTCTTTTAAATTTTCTAATGGCTTATTTGTTATTCCTGTTTTGAATCGTAGATAATTTTTTGGATGGATGAAGTGGCTGATTTTGCGTCATTGTTGAAGGACTAGAGGTCAATTCATTCTGGGATCTCGAGTATGTTTGTGAAGTGTATGATCATAGGATTCAAAAAAGAAAAGAGAATCATGCATATTGCTCGTTGCAGTGTGATCTTTTGCGGATAAGTTTTTATGCGAGATGTTTGGTGGGTTTTTTGGTGCACATTGTTCACGTAATCTTTTGGTCATTGTTTACTTTTTGGATCATCACTTCTTCTATAACCGTGAAATGATTAGTTTTTTATTACTACTGTTGCAATGTGCATGCTAATGCTTATAGGACATGAGCACACTAATACTAATAGAACATTGACTTGGATGTGTTTGGTGTTGTTTGATATGTAGATTTCATTGCTTCATATTTACATACCAACTAATGGGTTTCATATCTTTTACATGCTAAACTAATATGATAAATCTCAGAGAGCATATATGCATTTATCATTATTGACAGCCCATTGCCTACACTTAAATGTGGATTGGAGTTTCTTACAAATTATTTGATAAGGTGTGTTGAGCTAATGAAATTATTTGCTTGGAATTTATGATATTCATGTCAGGTTAAGTCTCCATGCACTTTTACCATGGAGCGATGAGTGACACTCACAGTTCATTATTTATCTGTGTGTGTGCTTGTGTGTGCTTTTTTATGCTTGATGAGTAACTTCAGGTTTTTTTGAGGAATCTTAGCTAATGGAGCTTTTAGGCTTTATGGGATGGGCTTATATGCATTTGGCACTGGATATGTTGAGAATGTTTCTGTTTATTTTTTTGAAGAAGTTTAACTTTATATTAATAAATTTAAGTGTTATACAAAAATCAGAAGATAGCATCCCACAAATTGGGTGCTTAGAACACAACAGTAAATTTAGAGAGGAGAGAGAGGAGAGAGACTTAGAGAAGGGAATATGTAGAGTGCCTGCGTAAAATAGCCTGAAACAAATAAAAGAAAGAAATACAAAATCTTCAAAAGTTGCTGGACTGACTTTGTAGTAGGCTGCGTGTCTTTGAACCTTTCTGGCATTGTTGCAAAGGGCTCAGGAGAAGAGTGGTGATAGATTTGAGAGGGAGATAGTTGGAAATGGAGAGCAGCAGTAAGATGGTAGTATTTTGAGTCCATATGTACCTATATAAATATGGCAGTCCATATGTAAACTTGTAGACATGCCATGTTGGGATGAAACTTGGATGACATGTAGGAATAGCGTGTCAATCAGATGTCTAGGCATGACGACATGAGATACCAGAGAGAAAATGGCCTGCCTGGTAACATTGATCTCATCTTCCAACATCTCATTCTCTTTATCTCTGCTAACTGTTTGACATCCTAATGTTCATTCAACTCACCTCTCATGTAGCTGATTTGTTTCTCAAATCTTTCTTTTCTCTTGATCGGTTCAATTCTTTATTTGCTTCGTGTTTCTCTTGTTTTCCTGTTTTTTTTCCTGTTATGTCATTTCTTTCACCTTTCCTTTTGTTTTGTTCTATTTTCCTTGATCCTTTTTACCCTTTTGGAGGCAGATAATTATCCACCCACCTATTGTTTTTTATTCTTTCACTCAAAACATGGGTGGCATTACTGATGGGATTTCCTGATACAAGCATCTACTGTGTTAACTGCTACTGAACAAGAGAGCCTACTGATCTGCCGTTTTTTTTCTTACTCTTTTTTTAGAAAAAGGGTTGTCTTTCATTCTATTTCTTCTGTTCTCTCTTCTTTGCCTTCTTCAATCAGATTTTTCTGTTCTCCCTTTTTTTTGCCTCTTCTCTTATTTCTCTTGTTTTTTTCATTTCTTCTTTGCCATTTCTTTTTATTGTATTTGTCGGTACCTTTCGGTTGTCTGTAACTTTCCTGGACCTTTTACCCTTCACTTTCTTTTTCGTGCTCCTTTCTGATATCCATTTCATTTCTGAGCATCTATGTTGATATTTTTTGTTCGTGTTACTTGGAATTGAGTTTGTGTGGCAACTAGGAAGATCAGTCCTGAATGCTTGGATTAGTATTGATGCTTGGCTCTTTCTAGCTTTGTAGAAATGAATGGTCTGGCTAGACCATAACGAGGCCCTGTGGTTGGGAATGTAATTTGTTCAAAAAAGTCGATTGATGAAAGACAGGTGGTTAGTGGTGGTTGGTTTGGGATTTGAGTTGAGGATTGTGGTTTCTTGGGTTACGGATTTGCATGGAAGTTTTATTGAGTAAGTTTGATTGCTAGGTAGTTTTGATGATTTGGTAAGAGTAGTCATGGTTTCTTGGGTTACGGATTTGCATGAGAAGTTTGGTTGCTAAGTAGTTTTGATGATTTGGTAAGAGTAGTCGTGGTTTCTTGGGTTACGGATTTGCGTGAAGTTTTATTGAGAAGTTTGGTTGCAAGGTAGTTTTGATGATTTGGTAAGAGTAGTCACGGTTACAAGGTCACAGTGGTTCAAAATTTGCCTGCGAGAGGTGTATCACCTTGGGAGGCGTGGCCTCAAGGCTCCCTGAAGGTCATCTTCAGGTTTTGGTCTCGTTTGAGATCTTAGTTTCCTGTCTGGGTCAATGGATGTTGAAGTTGTGGTCAAATTTGGGACAGCTATTACTTTAGTGGTATGCATGCTCATATGAAGCTTTCAGAACTTGTCGCCTACACCCTCAGATTCAATATCTATCTTATACCTTTCGAGCTTAGAGAAAAAACACACCCATTATGAATAAGTGTTTATCCTCAAAAAAAAAAATACAGGTTACTAATGTTCGGAACTGTGAATCACCGAGTTGTGTGAACCCATAAGAGCGAGCTATTGATGAGACTGAGGGCCGTGACCATAGTATTGGTGGGTGTGCTAATTGATTTTCATGACATACTAGTTATTATCAAGTCTTTGATGACGCACTTCCAAATATTGGTTAAGGATTCACTGTAGAAATGGGGATGGGGATATTTTGTTGTTTATGCCCATCACTTGGTGCTTTGGTGTGATTTAAGGTGAATTTGAGCCTAGGGCCTTCATTTAGGTGTCCACGCATGTGTATTGGCGATGGTCTTTGTACTTTGTGAGAATGCCTTGTGCCTTAAAACTTGCTTCATCTTTATCTATTTATTAGTTGGCCGCGTTAACTGTGAATTTGCGACACTTCCATTGGCATGTATATATTGAGTTCTCGGTTAAAATTGTTTGTGAAAGAAAACGTTTTGTCAATATTAAATTTAGAAAAGAAAACACCCCTTCTTACCGTTAACGTTTTAGACGTATCTTGAGATGGGAGAAAAGAAATCAGCTAGTTTGTTTGAAAAAATTGGCTCCTGCTAGGCTGCTCAAATTTTTAGCAATGGAGTGATTTAAGAGTGATCGATGTCCGGCGAGTCAATTTTCATGATCATGGTTATTTCCCTAAATGTCACTGAAATAGAAGTATGTCGAGAACAAAAAAGGAATAAGAACGAAAAAGAAAAAGAAAAAAAGTTCTCTGTAACTTATTTCACATGATTATAGCTGCTTAATTCTACAGTTTCTCATGATGCTCCATGAGGGTAAATAAGGCAGGTTAGTGTAGCCATTTCGATTTTTTGATATTGACTGCTGGTGGCATGTCCAATGTTCTCTCAATGGGCTTCGTAAGTTGTTGTGGGCTACTTATCTAATTTTCCATTCTCTCTCTCTCTCTCTCTCTCTCTAGTTTCATCTCCCTCTCTCTTTACAATAAGAAAACAAAGAATCTCAACATTCAAACATAAATTGTGACCCTAATTGTTTTGCAGAATTTTTACCTGCATTTTCTCCTACTTTTTTCTTTTTATGGGATTGAATCATTCTTGCGAAAAATATCTTAACAAATCATGACTTAATTATGTAAAAGGAAACTGAGATATTTTAGATAAGCATCAATTTTATACAAAATATAAAAAAGAGAAAATGATCAATTAGTCATCTCCCCTCTTCCTCTCCCTCTCCCACTCCCACTCCCTCTCCCTCTCTCTCTTTCTCTTTCTCTCTCTCTTACAAATTGTGTATTTTCTCTATCTCAAGTGTAAGTACTCCTTTAATTTTGGTTTTAAAAGAAGTACTCTCTTCCCTGAAAAATATGAATATTTCACAATGATTGTAATGTGTCTCACAATTTATCGAGAATTAAGATTTTTTATTTTTGTGACATGTGTCCAACCTTTAACGACTTAATAATGTAAATATAACTATTAAAATAATTGATCAATTAGCTAAAATTTTTGTTTTTCTAATGGAACGGCAGAATTTGAGAGCAAGGGAGAGAATACCCTTTTCTCTGAGGGGGAGAGAGATCATTCCCATTCGTAATAATAAAGCGAGAACACAACAAAGAGAACATACATGCAGGGAAGCACAAAAAAGGGAATAATGATACGACAAGCTCAACGCCTGTACGATATAGCATAGCAATTTAGCATGCTTAAATCTCATAATGAAATATTAATACCCTTTGTCCCCCGTCATAAAGCTTACATTATATAGACGTTAGTGTTGAATATATAAAATAACAACCTTAAGATTGGCGTTTCCATCCGCCAATAAAAGAAAAAGTGGGGGATTTTAAATCATATTTGAGTTCTTTAAGCTAAATTCCAGAAAGATAAATTTGAAAGGGGAAAGGATAAAGGACATCTTTTTGAAGTGCAGATACGTTCAATATGGAAACTGAAAAGGGCCTATTTAGACCTGATATAGCCAGAGGCTGATCTACGTGGCAATATTTCAATGGTATGAACTAGCGATTTAAAAATCGTTGATAAAGATCAGGAATTGTCATCAGGATCGACGGGCACCTTCTCCTTTCTTTGATGGAATAGGGCAATTTGGCCTATAAAAACTCAGGAACCTTCTTTTGTTTAGCAATTCTCAAAGAGAAATTGTGAAAGATAGACCTATGTAATATTTTTTTTTGTTATTTATTTCTTTGCTATTTCAATCCAGCAGGAATCAATGGGTGTGCAATCCACTCTACCAACTCGAATTTTAAATCATTGTTAGGCACCGTTTTATTATAAATTGTAAGTGGCAACCCTGACCTCTCATAATGATAGTTTGGGTACCTAATATTTTACTAAGAAGTAGGAATATTAGTGGCACAATAAATCCCAAATATTATATGATAATTTGCAATTGAAAAAAAAAAAAAGATGAGAAAAAATCCTATACACCCACTTGATTAAAAATAATAATCCCAAATAACCTCCAAATCTATAAAATGCCCACAGACCCCCTTCTAAACCCATTCTTTACTTTTTATTTTTAAATTATAACATTTACTATTGTTTCTAATATCCCCATCATATAAATGAAATTTGAAATGCCTCTTTTAACCTCGATGTGAGATTAGATTAGAGAGACATGAGGATTTAAGGGAGGTTGCAAAAAAGAGGGGGTGACGAGGTTCAAAGGTGAGGAAGACAGAAAGAAAGGGGGAGCCTTTCTATGGTTTTATGAAGCAGTCATTAAAATAAAAATAAAAATAAATATTAAAATTTGGATAATGAAAAAAGTATAGGAGTTATACATCATTTTCTTTTAATTTGGAGGGCGAATATACGCTTTCCATGAAACACAAGGGTTATTTGGGATTATGATTTTAGGAAGTAAGGCTAACATCTTTTCCCCTTGATAAGAGGAGCATTTGGGATTATGATTTTAGGAAGTAAGGCTACCATCTTTTCCTCTTAATAAGAGGAGCAGCGTTTCCGTGTTCTTTATTGTGGGACCTTGCCAAATGAGGATATTTCATATGCAAAGTTCCAAACAAGGGTCATCTACCGTAGATAGAGTATATATGTTTTTAATACGTTAAAGCACCAAATTGATTATCTGGGAAAGAAGTCCATACTCTATGCCGAATAATCAATTAACAGTAGCCTAACATAAATGTGTGAGTGTGTGAGAGAGTGCGCGCAATTTCCCCTTTTTCCCTGTGCAGCAAGTGTAACATATAATTTTGAACTGTGAAGATACAATTGAAAGGACGAATACATGACTTGGGCCAAAGCAAATGCATGGTCAATGTGTCCATCGCCAAAAAGCAACAACGACAACGATTGTAAAGATCATACCCGCATATGCAATCCATTTATCAACACGGTGCCGCCTCTCAATAAGCTTCAACACTGAATTTGAAAGTCCCACAGTGTTCAGCACGTCCAATGCCTTTCGATGAGCTCGCTGTACCCACAAAATGGCATAAACTAGATAGTTACAGGAGATAACACAAGTGATAACCAACAATTGAAGGGCCTCAAAAAAAAAAAGGGCTAATCTTTTTAAAAACAGCAGTTACAAAGAATAAACACAAGTAGTTGTTTTGTTCTTGGTTTGTCTAACAAATATTTGTGTACCATGCACTGCGCTTAGAATGACATTTGGCTGAAGGTCCTATTATCACCAGAATACCTATACTCGAATGGCAGATCTTTTCAAAACAACCATGATTACAAAGCTTGATCATGTGAGGTGGTTTTGCTCTGTATTTCTTGCAAAAATTTCTTTGTAGAATGCAAAATAAATTTCACCTAATTCAGTTCAGCTGAAATGCCCAATTATCTCCTGATCATAGCAAACTTAGCTGAATTCCATCTATATTGTTGCAGGCTCTAATATCATCTGAGGTATGCAGATCTTTGCCATATTCTAAGACCATAACAGCAAGCTTACTACAGATTATGTATGCCAATACAAGTAAAACCTCATTTTAAACAAAATAAAAAGAGAAACCCAGGAGCCATGGACTAATGCATATACTAATTTCAAACAGATAAGCACAAACATGGGGATTGGTAGATTTATGTATTAAATGAACGTTTGACACATTTAATCGTTAAAAATAAATAATAGGTAATTACCTTCAACCGATCTCTTTGTTCAGCATACTTGGAAAGGATTGCAACCCCACTGGCATAGGCATCCTCGAGCATCATTGATGAGTTGTGTGCAGATTGCATTGCCTGTGCTTCCTCATCAAAGATTTGTAGTACATGAGCATTGTCTCCATTCTGCAACAAATGGAAGGAATCCAAATTTTGAGAGACACAGACTCCTGTTGATTTTCTCTTTTTGTTTATGAAAGAACTGAAGATGATGGGTTTAACTTCTTATCCCAAGATGTAGGTTTATTAGATCCAGGTAATGATGATAATTTATTTGAGTGACAATACAAAGATGATCATTGTTAATGGACTCATCGAGGCCAATTTATTGGCAAGCAATCCATATATCTGAGAAATGCATAGAAGTAACTGCAAATCATTACAGTTTAATTGTTTCTTCGTCATACATAAAGTATAATGGAAAGTGCTACATATTATACAGAATAAGAGTCCAATATACAAAACCCTGTGTTCTGTTCTCTAGCCTGAACACCATACTTTCTCCTTAACAAAAAATAGAGAAAAAGAAAGGCATTGGGCAATAAATCCTACCGGAGTTTAACATGAAGACTGACATACATGCCAAGTGTCTGAAATCCAAAGCTTTGTTTCTACTTTTAAGATATACCATGTTTCTGATGCCAAATAAAGAACAAGAGAGGCATTGAACAGTAAAGTTTAAAAACTAAGACCAACAATTAGAAATCCATTTACTCTTTCCAGTTTTAAAATAATTTTACCATATATAATCACCAAGATAGAGATTGACGTACGGCTCTTTTCAAAAGTTCTGCCCTCTCTTTTGCCTCCATCATTCGTCTGTGATTCCGCTGCATATATTTATCCAAGCCATCCTTCAAAGAGTCAACCTCCTCAGCCACTTGTTCAACTTTTCTGTAATATAAAAAATGCATTATGCATATAGAATAAGAAACCTCATAATGTCATGTTTAATTGTGCCAGAAATGAAATGAAAGTTTACTTAAAAGATTCAAAGATATGCCCTGCTGAGAATGTGTGCAATATAAAACAAATGAGTATAAGTCTTCGAAAAAAAAGATATGAATAATAATCTGGTATGTACTTTAACCCCATAATTATTGACAAACAAATGCCCTCATGTAATGGAGTAATTCAAAGTGGCATTAAATCATGACCAAAAAAAGAAAAAAGAAAAAAGAAAGGAAGGAACCCACTCACTAATCCAACAAGGCAAAGTTCCTTGAGAATCAAAATCTTGCTATAAACACCACTCCTCAAAATAGATTAGAATCCTTTCCCATTTGTCCCAATGGATGCATTCTTAGTTGCCCAAAATCACGTAAATGTACAAATTTTAAAAAAGCAATATGCCGCAAAAAATTGCCTCAGTTCACAAAATGAAACCAATTCACATGGATTCCCATAATGCTGACAAAAACCTCTGTCGAAGTATTCACATGAATTCATCGAATTGAAAAACCAGTTGAATCCAAATAAGTGCTTCAATTCAAATGCAATAAGTGAATTTGGAATCAAGAAGAAAGTAAAAGGAGCTAGTCAAGAAAAAAAAAATCTGTAAATTCAGAAATTGATAACGATCCCCATAATCCTAGAACAACAGATTTCATCAACTAATTTGAAAAAGTAGCATGACTTGCATCATCTTTGTGAAGTGAAAATGCATAACATAGAAATTAAGCTCTCAAATAGTAATACGACAGTCAAACATACAGAATGACGTTAATAAATAAAGAAAATAGCCCAGAGAAGATTGTAAAAAATTCACAGTACATACATTCTAGTTCTTTACTAATTCGGGATAATCACATAAACACTCTTACAACTGTGGCTATAAATCACCTCAAAAAAGTTATCAAATTATGCACAAAAAAATGGGCAAGAAAGAGTGAATCAAAGAAAATAAATCAAAGACAAGTGCTACAAATTCACAACAAACTGAAATGAGAACCTGATCTGTCACCCAATTAAGCATAATAAAGAACTAATTTCACCACATTGGAAAACGAAAGATAATTAACACTGGTTTCCAATCTAAATACCAGTGCAGATCAATTAAATTCAAAAATTTAAAGGAACTCAGAATAAAGAACTCGGCAAAGCTTCGAAAAGTCAGTAAGAAAACACGATTTCTTACATATTTCCCATGAAATTCCATAATTCGCAAATTTGGATAATAGAGATTAATCATGTCATAATTCAAAGATATATCAGGAAGATTTTGAAGAGGAGGGCCTACAAAATTCCTCTGAAACCTAACCTTTTCCATAGATCTCTCTGACCTTTTGCTGCAACAGATCGCCATAGCCGATCCATCTCTGCACAAAGACCCTGAATCTGAGTGATATCTCGCTTCAAAAAATATGATAATTCAGAGGAATCAAGGCTGGTCGATGTGGATTCAAGGCGTTCAAGCTTTTCAATTCCAACTCTGGTTCTCAAGAGCAATCGCCTTGAGCTCTGATACAGATCAGAGAGAGTAGTCCGGCCCTCCATTTCCAGACCGAAAATAATTATTCCACGGAATTATTGAAGTTTGAAGCCCTTGAAAAAATGAGAACCCTAGAATTTCTCGAAGCTTAGTGAAAGAACCGTGAAACCTGCCGGGAAAAGAAAAGGATGGCGCAAACCTCATTTAATGGTTTGAATTGCACTGTCCGTCGATCCTGTAGATTGGACGGTGATGGCCATCTCCGCCACGTTATTGTATAAGGAGGTCACGGTTGCCATTGTCCGTCGTATGGATCCGGTTTCTATGCGGTCGAGCCCGCATATGTCGAAGTGCAGGCTTCTTGATAAATTTATGTTTTAGATGAATTTTAAGACTCAATTTTTAAGAACATGTACTCTCTAACATGAACATCATAAATATGAAAAAATAAATAAATTTTAAAACTAGAAATAACAATTCTAATAAAAAAACATTTAAACCGGTAGTTTATATTGTTTTTAGATGGCACACTTACTTGCATCCATCTTTAATATGTATGCTTACACCTTATGAATTGCATGTGTAAAAATGCGGTCTAGCCAGCATGAAATAATTTTCCTATTATAATTGGATAGTTAGTGACAGTATCCTCAACTTCCCTCAAAGTTAAAAAAAAACAAAAACATCTCTAACTTTGTGACCTTCAAATCCATATAATTTTTCATCTAATGGTTAAGAGATGATTGCGACGTCTTTGTAACAAAAAGATAAATCACCTTGTTTTACTTACTTTGGAGTTCAAAGGGTTCTTTATGAATTGTATGCTTTAGGAGTATTTACTTTTTGTATAGAAATGTCACAATCGCCTATAGTTGTATTTACTTTATGTATAGAAAGGTGACAATTGCCTATAATCGTAAGATATAAAACAAGATAGCTTGGATGTGTCATAAAATTAAAAAAAAAAAATTTATACTTTGAGTTTGGTCAATTAAATAATGGTTAAGATTGATTGTAACTTCCATATAACACATATAAATAGTCTCATTGTATCCTCTTCTTTTTTTTTTATTGGTGTGAGTTTAAAGTTGTTGAGGCGTAAACCTCATATAATCAAGACAAATTTATAGAAATATCTCATATTTATAAAAATCTTAAAATGGTGCAAATTTATAAACACTTAAAAACATTAAATATAAACAATCTATATAATTTGTTATATAAGGTGTTTATTTGTAGGACTTAAAAATCATTTTTTCTTTGCATCCACAAATCTTGACGTCGAGGTGATCAATTTGAAGGTTTTCTAACTTGAAACACTCTTTTATACTTAGGTTATTAAGGCGCTAACGTGCACCTAAAAAATCCTCTATGTGAGAGTGTTTCGACATTGGAAAACCCTCTAATTGTTTACCTCGACGTTGAGATATATGAATATAACAAAAACATTGCAAAGTTTTAAAAATAATATATGCTCTATCTATATCACTTTTAAAATTTCAAAATTTATAACTTCGGATGAAACATAAATTTTCAAGCCACCACAAAGCTTGAAACCTTGGAACTAAAATTCAGAGATGCGCCTTAATCTGCAGCGCAAGGAAGACGCCTGGTATAAACCTCAACCGGTTTTTAAAGGGTGTGTTTTGTAAAAGCATCCTTAAACAATCCAAGTAAGACACACTTCTATAACGTGCCGAAATATGTGATTTTGATGTTGAAAATTACAATATTGATATGAAAATCTATTTTTATATAATTATAAAATTTTAAAATAAAAAAATAGTACAAGATCTAGGAACACTTGAATAGTGTGGTTCGCATAAGGTTGAGGCTCTAATCTATCAAAGTAAGACACACCTTCAAATAAAGACAAAATATGTTGTTTTAGTACTAGAAATATTCGTGATGGCTTGGAAATTTATTTTTTATCTCTAATTATAAATTTTAAAGAATAAAAAATAATATAAATTGAATTAATCTATAAACTTTGGTAAATCATGAAATTGACACTTTGGATAATATATTACAAGATGCAGTATTTTGAATACTTGAAATCTAATTTTGCTCATGTTTATACATCTTGAGTTCGAGATGATCGAATGGAGGGTTCCACAAAATCAAAACAACCTCTTATAGTGAATTTTTGACGTACACCTTAATTTGATTGTTTAGAGCTTCACTCTTATATAAACTTTTTCTGTACTTGAAAATCTTAAAAGCTGATGGTCAAGATAATATGCCACAAAATATACTATGTTCAATACTTAAAATTATATTTTATCCGTATCCATGCATTTCAAATTTTTGGCATGCACTTTAATTTGATGGTTTAGAGCCTCACCGTTATATAAACATATTTTTTTTTTGACCAATATTCAAATTATATAAAGTTTTTTTATACTTGAAAATCTCGAAAGTAAACGGTCAAGATAATATGCTACAAAATATACTATTTCCATAGACTTAAAATTTTTTTTATCCATATCCACCCGCATAGAGATGATTAATTTGAAGGGTTTTTGGCATCAAAACTCAATGGACTTTAAATGGGGTGCCCACATTTCAAGGTTGATACTTGATACCTTGTATAAACTATTTTGTTTTGGTTTCACGTCGCATGTGTTGTCACGTGCACCGGGCGCATCTGTTGTCACGTGCATGTGTTGTCACGTGTGATAGAATATGGAACCGAATGAAAATTTCCAAAATATTATCCAACGAAGCAGAGGTCTTCTGCTTTTTTAAGCTTTTATATCCATCTTTCTTCCTCCTATGTTCCATTGAAGAGCTCTATCCATTTTGTAAGCACGTAGAAGCCATTGTTGTTTTTCAAAAAATTAAACATCACAGTCCAAATCCTAATTCAGGAAATTTGTGTGACTTCGAAATTTTCTGCCCTGTGTTTGGGGATAATCTCGTCTCTGTGAACAAGCTCACACAGGCGCCTGAAACAATCTAGGGTTTTCAGTTCGTTGGGTCTCCTTAAGTTTCCTGATAAATTAAAGTTTCTTTAACACTCCATGGTATCTCTCAAATTCGACCTCGATGAATTCTTCTTAAACAACCTAGGAGGTGAGTCCATGGGAGCTACATTGAATTCTATGCCGGTTGTGACCTCTGCGAAATTATAGGGTTATGCATGAGAATTTATTGTGTCTTCAATCCATGGGAGCTCTTTCAAGTTCCACTGTGACCAATCCAGCGTTGGGTATTAACTTCAAATGCAGCTTATTGCCTGTGAAAAAGACTGCAATCAAAAGATTTGGGTTCAAGGAAATTAGGGGAAATGCATTGAGTCGTTGTTGTTTGAGAGTGGAGATTGGTTGGTTTGGGAGAGCAAAGTCTGGTAATGGAGCTTACAGGCGCGCAGGTGATCGAATTAGGTGTTTTAGTGGTGATGGAAATGAAGGGGAAGATATCTCGAAGGCTTCTGGCTCGACTGCCACGGAAGAACCAGAAGAGAGGAGCAGTAGTTCTATGAAGTCAGATGAGCCACCTGCTTCAGTATCTTCAACGGTATTTTACCTTACTACTTTCTGTGTTTATTTTGCCACCTCTTCAAGCTCCAGTCCAGTCAGTAGGTTCTTGATCTTATAGAGTACAATTTTTATTTTTCAAATTAGAAAAACGAGTATAATACATTATTTGTGAAAGGTATCCCTTTTTTTTGGTCATCTTTTTTTGCTTTTTTTTTGCGTTCCCTAATTGAATTTAAGCATGCAAGGTTATGTCTGGTTGAATTCTATCTATTGATTAGAGAATATATATCAGTTTTATCATGCTCCCTCTGTTGCTTTAGTGGATCAGTGACTGGAATTAATAATATTTCACGGACATATCTTTTTTTTTGTTAGAATGTGGAGCCGAGTTTTGAAAGTGGAGCATTACTTGTTGACATGGTTACCGTCGAAATATTAAACAAAAGGTCTTGACCTGCTTTTGTCCTGGTTGTGAAGTCATATTTGGTAGCATTATTCCCTCCCAAGTTGGTATTGCGTTGTAGTTTTTGCACATTTGTGTTTGGTTGATTTTATGCAAAGCATGTATATCTGACACTTGTGTATTTCTAAGTTTGCTGTTTGCCCAGAGGGGTTGAGATATTTCTGTTTATGAAGATCTACCTTTTTATTTATGCTCTCTGATTTTGCTATTGAACAATCATTTATCAACGAATAAGGTCATTAAAAAGTCATAATATCTATGGCCTTTACATGGCTTTTGTTTCGTCATGTCTTGCCCATCTAATAACATCCAATGATTTGGGTTTATGGATATTTTTCTAGGTTCGACAGCTGTTTAGTTTAGGCATGTGAATGGCAGTGTCTGAAAAAATATGAGCAAGGTTTTCTAGGCTCAATCTTGAGGTTATGTGATTCTTGGATGAAAACTTATTTGGTCGATCTTTTCAGCCTTCAGGTTTTTCTCCAGAACCACCACCTTATACAAACTTTCAGGTTGATTCTTTCAAACTAATGGAACTCCTTGGACCTGAGAAGGTCGACCCATCTGATGTAAAGCTGATCAAGGAAAAGCTATTTGGGTACACTACGTTTTGGGTTACAGGAGAAGAACCATTTGGTGATCTCGGAGAAGGTGTTCTTTTCCTTGGAAACTTGCGAGGCAAAAGGGAAGAAGTTTTTGCAAAACTTCAATGGCAGCTTAGTGAAGTTATTGGTAACAAGTACAATCTATTTATGGTGGAAGAGCCCAATTCAGAAGGACCTGATCCACGTGGAGGGCCTCGAGTTAGTTTTGGTTTGTTACGAAAAGAGGTTTCAGAACCAGGACCAACAACACTGTGGCAATATGTGATTGCTCTACTCTTATTTCTTCTGACAATAGGCTCCTGCCTCGAGCTAGGAATCGCATCTCAGGTATATCTATATGCTTGACTCTCTCCATAGATCTCTTCAACTATTTTAGCTCGTGGTTAGACTTAATTTGTGATTTGCTTGTTCTTCTTGTTCATAAGTTGTGAGTATTTGCTTTTCAACCTACAGTTAAATAGGCTTCCACCGGAGATGGTGCGGTACTTCACAGATCCGGAGGCAACGGAACTGCCTGATATGCAATTGCTAGTCCCCTATGTGGAATCTGCTCTGCCTTTGGCATATGGTGTGTTGGGGGTTCAGCTATTTCATGTAATTCCACCTTACTTCTTTTGCGGTTTTAAAAGCATCATTTGTCGAATGACTGCTGACTTTATGATTAATTTACATTTTAGTTATTTGGCTATTGTCTCTGATGTTCTTTTTCCCTGGAGGTTCTTGAAGAAATTTATTTTCTGAATGGAAAATTGTGTGGTGAAAAGTTGTATTGATATCCATGGTCATAGCAGCCCATTTGACTTTTCCCTATTTTACACGTCCTTTGTGAGTATTGGTAACCTTGTCTGTGGCTTATAGCATTGCAAGTGACGTAGATCTATTGACGTATTGAAAATGTAAAATACTGTAATTTCGAATGATTTGCATTGCTGGAAAATATTTAGAATGAAATATCTTGAAGAATGAAGATGCTGTTAAGACAATCACAGGACATATCTCTTTGTTATGTATAGGAAGGTGGACATTCGTGATGTACCTATAACAAATAATAACACGACAACAACGAGGCACAAGATCAACATACACATTGTTCAAATAATAATACATGACACCAATATACATTTTCTCTTAAAAAACATTAATATACTAGATTTAAACAATCTCTGACATTCCACCAATCTGAGAGGTACTCTATAAAGCTTGTTGCAGACAGTTGTGCCTTTCCCATGAATGAGTGCCTTAGTCAGAATGTCAGCCTTTTGATTTTTTGGTGCAAAAACACATTGTCTTTGTTTCTGGAGCTATGATATTGTTTCAAGTAGGGTGATTCCCTATTCTCAATATGCTCAGTGACTGCGTTGAGCATTGCATTGGCAACAAGGTGCTTTTCATGTGTTTGTAATATTACATCCATTCAGCACAATGCAGATGATATGGATTTTAAAGAAAACCTAACCTGTTTCTTTCACTTGAAGGTGTATTTCTACAATCATTGAAGGTCTTGTCCATAACACGTTTATTTGGAATAACCACGGTAGCTATGATGTAATAACATACGTTATTCCATCCATATTACTTTGTATAGAGAAATGTGTCTCTAAAACCTTCTGTTTCTGTTAACATATGGTGCATACTTATTGAATAGTTTTCCACTTCAGGAGGTTGGACATTACCTGGCTGCATTTCCGAAGAAAGTGAAGTTGAGCATCCCGTATTTTATTCCAAATATCACACTTGGCAGCTTTGGTGCAATCACACAGGTAATGGCTATTATACTTGAAATCTTCTGAAATAAAAATAACAGAAACTGGTCTTGGAGTTGATGACTTTTTTGTACTAAAGCTTACAGTAGATTACTTATAATTATATTAACAAAAACAGTATTTGGAACTTTCCTTTCGTGGAATAAGTTCACTTACAGTAAGTGCTGATAAAATATTTGAGTATATCCTCCCCTTACTGATACCTGTTAACATATTTTTTGTCACCATGGCTTACAGTAGTTGAGGTGTTCTTAATTCCGTCCATCCTTTATTTTAAGATTCCAATATTTCTCTGTAAGGAATAGTGATTTCTACCTTCTCATTGATTATGGAAAGTTCGTCTAAACGTATTGCATATTGATTATCGTCCACCTTCTCGCCATTTTGATTGGAAAACTTAGTCTTAGTTACTTTACCATGAGGCTCTGTCTTGGTCTATTTCAACTCCAACAATTAGTTATACCATATTATTATAAGGCATTATATACCATGAGATCATTTATTTTTGGTACGAGGTGGTGACAATCACTATTAGCCATTGGATGTGAATCCTAAAGATGAAAGTGTGTCACAACATTTGAGAAATTTTATTTTGGACTTTGTGTCCAAACAATGATACATCCTCAACCACCTGATTTCAAATCTAATAGTTATGACGATTGTGACCTCTTTTTATCAAAAGTAGATGGTCTCATTGTATAAAAAGAAAAAGTAGGAAAAGATAAAATCTACCATCCTTGGCTTTCTGTCCTTATCCATTTAAACCTGTTCAATTTTGCAGTTCAAATCAATTCTTCCGGATCGAATGACAAAAGTTGATGTCTCTATGGCGGGACCATTAGCTGGGGCTGCACTTTCCTTTGCAATGTTTGGTGCTGGTCTTTTCCTTTCATCAAATCCAGTCTCTGCAGGAGATTTAGTTGAGGTGCCAAGCACTCTATTTCAGGGCTCCTTGCTTCTTGGTCTCATCAGCAGAGCTACTTTGGGCTTTTCGTATGTTTCTATGTATCATCCCCTCATGCAGCCAGTAGTTACATATCTTATTTACTATTTATATCAATTGTCACTCTTTTAATTAAGGCTTGGCCTTTCAGTTTCCAAATCATAAGTCGATTTTGTTGGAACCTTATGGTATTTTGTTTATACTAATTTGTTGTAGTAATGCTTGTATCCCTTGTTACTTACAAACTCTCAAAGGCTTTTCGTTTTGAAAACCATAAGTCCATTTTATGAAAGATCGTACCATTTGATATTTCATTTCATATCCTTTTTTCAAATTATTGTTAGCTACGATTGTTACTTCCAGAAAAGGAGAAAAACTTTATCCAGGATACATCTTACTTTCTAACTGATCCTCCACTATAATCAACATGCAGAGCCATGCATGCAGCAACAGTGTCGATCCACCCTCTTGTGATTGCAGGCTGGTAAGTTTTATTCCATTTCTTTGCTAAGTTCTAATTAAATGTTATGCAAATATCTCATTGGATTACCTCTTTTCCAGGTGTGGCTTAACTACAACAGCTTTTAATATGCTTCCAGTTGGGTGCCTTGATGGTGGAAGAGCTGTCCAGGTGCATGGGGTTTTCAGCTATGCTTCAGTAGTTAGTTTTTTAGTCATTTTTACAATCGACGGCATCTGGAAGTTTCAAATATGTGAAATTCAAATCTCTTTTTCTGATAGTTATTACGAAAAAATATAAATCTCTCTTTTTGACAACAATGAAGCAATGTTTTAGCACAATGACAACAACGAAAAAATACAGTTGTTTTAGCACAATGTTTTTGGCGTATTTGTCAGGGTATTTTATTGAGGTTCATTCTTCTTAGTAGTTTCTACCAACATTCCTTTGGGAGAAACATCCACCATTAGAAGTCAATCAAATGTTATGTATCGACTTGATTCCTTGTGCACATTACTGTTTATGGCTGGACATATCGAATTTTCTGCATAGATGGAGGTGTAAATATCAGCCTATCCATTTTTAAGTTCTTGGATCTAGAGATGCTTTCAGCTATTCATTTGTTTGATCTGAGATTGATTCTCAAGAAATTTGGTTCTGACAGGGAGCCTTTGGGAAGAATGCATTGCTTGGATTTGGATTGACGACGTATGCCTTTCTTGGCTTAGGAGTGGTATGCCTCATCCCCCTTTCAGAACTTAAATTCATTTATCATTTGCTTGATTACGAGCACCATGTAGATATTCATCATTATTCGAGGAAATTTATCAAAGTAATTTGCTATATGACATTTCATCCATTCCATTTGTTCTACTCTTGAAAAGCCCATCAAGGTACACATGAAGTGTACATAAATAAGGGTCAAAATTGATGGTGGGAAAATTTCCGATTTTGCCCCTCCATCAAAACCAAAGTGGTGAACCATTAGTTTCTTCGTCAAAAATACCAGTATCTCATAGGTGAGTAGGTTACTAAGTGAAGAGTCAAGAGAGAGAGAGAGAGAAAGTGACTTAATGAGATATTGATATTCTAAAATACCAAATACCCAAGATAACTTATATGATTAGATTTTGATGTTTCAAAACACCTATATCTCGCACAAACTTGACACCCATGAGATACTGGTATTGAAAATATTAGTGTCTCACAAAGTTAGTGAGTTACTGGTATTCGAAAATACCAATATCTCACATTGGTGATATTTCTAAAAATTGGTTTTGTTTTGTTGGAGGTGCCTAGGGTGGCCCGACTGGGTCTAGGTCTATACCTAGATAATGGACTCAAAGAATCGGGTCTGGGTCTACTTGACCTAGGCCCCTCCTGGGTCTGGGTCTTGGTGGGGGGTCAACCGCACTTGGTTTTTATATGGATAAAATACATAGAACTTT